AAAAAGAAAGTTCTGATTATTTTCTCTGTTTTGTTTGGAAGTATGGCATTTTATTATTCTTATGGTTTATTGTAAATTAGCAGAAATATATTCAGAAAATGAACAAACAGAAAGAACAAACATAAAGTAGTTTAACATGTTCAAAATGCTTCATATTCATGATCTTGTTATAATTTATGTAAGAATGATAGAAAGCTAACTTAACTTCCCTAAGACACTGATTTGAAAGAATAAACTATTTTTAGTCTCTCTCTCTCTCGTAAATGTTTTATATGCATAGAGAGGTAAAAGATATACTAACATAAACATTTGGCTTTCTCGTGTGATCTGTTTTACATACATATTTGACTTAAGGACGTTCTGAGGAGCAGAACTCATCCATAACTGGGGACTACCTGTACAGGGGGAAGGCTTCTGTTTGGTGCACTTTGCTCTCCTCAGCAGAGAGCGCAACAGCGCCTCTCCTGCTTCCTGCCTCTGCTCTGTTCCTGCACGTTTCTGGGGAGAGTAACAGTGCCAGGCTGGTGGCCAATTGTATTGAGAAAAATGTTTTTCTAAATTGCACTCTTGATAAATTGAAATAACAGCATAGCTTTGCTTAAATAAATTGTAGTTGAAATAAAGGACTTCAGTGCCTCACTGAGAGAAGTGCAGATGGAAACCCCCGGCCCCCTGCACACGCACACACTCCACCACCAGCTCCCTTTTTTCTGTTCAAGTTGGCTCTTGAGACTTGAGAAGAGACTTGAGATTTGACTCGAATATTTCTTGCAATGACTTGAGACTTGACTTGGACTTGAAAGGAAAGACTTGAGATGTGACCCCAGACTTGGAGTAAAGGACTTGTATACATCACTGGTATGAACCATCTTGAATACTGGATACCCTCTGGAAATTCTGTTTGAAAGTTATATGGAATAACATTAACATTTATTACTGCTCATTCTTTAATATGTGTGCTAGTATTGTTACCCAGATCTAAATATATGACTTGGCTTGCCCATTACTTGATTCTGTCACACATGGAAATACCCTTTGATTTAATGGTATTTCCATGTATGACAGAATCAACAGATTAGTTAGTTATTAATAGTAATCCATAATGAGCACAAATGCTTTACAAGAAGAGTAGGTGTCATCGCCCAGGCCCAAGGACCCCCTGGGTCTATGGTTTCAAGTGTCAGACCTCCAAGTGGCAGACAGAACCAATTCCTGGGGCCCTTCTCCTTGGATCCACCCCCTCTCCACTTGATCCCAAGGGATGGCACTACCATCTGACTCTTGAGAGTGGACCTTGGACTCCTCCCATGAGCAAAGAGGCTCTGGGAAGCATCCTCCAGCCAGTTTCTCATTCCATCTGAAAACTAGAAGTAGCATTTGAGAAAATGAAACTCCCAGAAGAACTCTCCCAGTCTGCCAGTAAAGCCTATTAGTTGCTCTAAGTCAATTTTTCCCAACCTTGTACTCTCCAAAACATCTGCAGGGCACCATGCTGGGGAAAGTTGCCCTAAGCCAGTGCTGGAGTCCTTTGTCTTATATAATGTAGTAGAAACCCAGGAGGTAATTGTTATTTTGAGGAGTTACTGATGAACAACACGTTGCTCCTTCTGTGCCTAGACTTCCAGTTGGGTCTGTTTGCTTTGAGATGTTAGCTTCATGGGATTTCCCAAAGTTGGTTCTCTGCCTGAGATAGTACACTTGGAAAGACTATTATTGGCCTTAGACAGTAATCCCTGACTGGACTTCAAAGTCTACCACTGATTATGAGCAGTGTCTGGGATAGTCCTACAGCTATCTATGTTAGCTAGTTGCCATGTGCTAGAGCTAATCCTTACACTCTGCAAGCTTCATCCCAGGCCATTGTGTTTGTCACTGGCTCTAGAGGGGTTCCCAGTGACTCTGAGGTCATAAGCATTGTAATCTTGCTTGACAGTTTCTTGCCGCAACTATTAGCCTCTATTGACTATGTGGATAAAGGCAGGTTTGAGGTAAAAAATTAAAATGAGAAGTTTGCTTTATTTATACTATACTAGGATTTGGATCAACAAGTTTCTCATGAAGTCCCACTTTCTAATAGGATATGACATCACTAGTGAAGTGTAAGCCAATTTGTACTATGTTGAAAACTTCAGCAGAGTAATTCTTAGCTCATGTTCTTGGAGACAGCACAAACACTAAGTACCTTATGGGCTGCCAGAACGGAGAAGCAACTCAGGAAATTCCTGGAGTCGTTGCCTCCTAGTAAACATGTGATGAAGAAGAGCTGTACCACATGTTCTTCCATGGCTTTCACCCACTCCCTTTTCCTTCTACTAAGGCAGCACTTCCCAACCTGGGGTACATATACCCCTAGGGGTAAAAACCAGGACATTTAGAGGTGAATGTGAAAAAAATGAATATCATCAACTATACTAATTGCAAACATTTATACAAAGAGTACAATTTATGGAAATAGGGTGCCAAGGGGTACGCAAGTGACAAAAGGTTGGAAACCACTGGACAAAGGGCTACTTGAAATGCTGCTGCTCTTTGTTAAAATTCCTCACTTTGTTACGCAGCAAGTGCTAAACTCTCTTGCATTTGAACCTTTCAAATGGGTGGAGGAATCTGGCGAACATTTTCTTCCCAAAAGGAACATTCACACTGTCCTTGAGGCACTATTATTGTCCACTGCAGAACATGTAACACTGCCCTTTGTAAATATAGAAGACACCTTGTTGGTTCTTCTGAATACCACACAAGGCAGCACTGCAGTGGCCAATTTAGAAGTGGGGGATCCCATTATGATAGTCAGAGCTACACCTCCAAGCCACGCCCCACCAAAGCCATACCCCCAGGCCACACCTGTTTCCAAAATTATGCAACCTATACTTATACAATAAAAGTGAGCTTTGTCACTTTGTTAGAATTTCTGTTGAGTAATAAATACAAGGTAAAGGGATCTCTTTTTGAAATGGCTTCTAGAAGTTATTCCTTATTATCTTCATTTATTATGAATTAATGATTTTTTAAAATTACATCCATACCCCGCTTTCCAGCTAAAAAGTTCCCAGAGTTGCTTATGTGGAATTAATGAGGCAGTTCCTGCCCACAGGCTTGCTATCTAAAAATAAGACATACAGAGGCTGACCATGAGGGAAAGTGTTACAGAAAACACATGTGCATGCCTGACAGGTATCTCCAGATAGGTGATGGGTCTCTCCAGGAACTGTTGGTATTGTTGAAAAAACACCCCTGCTCATAACAAGTGATTTCCATAGATTAACAATGCACTGTGCATAGAAGTTCTTTATCTCTTTCTGAATTTCCCACCAGTCAGCTTCATGGGTTGACCCAAAGGTAGTTTTATAAAAGGAAAAAAAGTCTCTTCCTAGCCACTTTCTCTGCATCATGCATAATTTTGTGCACCTCTAGCCTTTCTCCTTTTTCTTACCCTTCCTTTTCTGCTGAACAATCTCAAGTGTTGTACCCCTTCCGCATAGGGGGCTTGCTGCAACCCTGGAACATTGTAGTTGCTCCTTTCTGCACCTTTTTCAATTCTACAGCATCCTTTATTTTAGGTATGATGACTAGAACAGTATACAGTATTACAAGTATAGCCATGTATGAGTATAATAGACTGATCATAGATGATGATAATGGCAGTTTTATCTTCAATACCTTTCCTAATTAAGCCTAGCATTACATCTGACTTTTTCACACCAGCAGCATATTGGGCAGCATTTTCATCAAGCTGTCTACTACAACCTGGAGAGCTCTTTCTTGGTGTGTCATGCAAGCTCAGATCTATCAACCTATACTTTGAAGTTGGGAGCTTCTGCTGCAACATGCATCACATGTTGAACCATATTTGTCATTGTGATGCTTTGAGTCTGTTATTTGAACTACATAACTTACCTACTGTAAGTTACTGTAAGCTACTGTTGCAATTTTCAAAAATTGTCCACGAACATTTGATAATTCAGTACTTGTTCCACTGATATTAGAACCATTTGCAATTGCTCTGCTGACCTCAAAAAAGAAAAAAACGCAATGGTTAAACATACAGATTATGGTGCTAAATTGCCCAGGGAAAGAAGATGCATGCCAAGGTGTCCATTCGTCAAGGAGTTCCAAAGGTGTCCATTCATCAAGACGATGCTGTTGGGCTTCCATACACCAAATGTGGCTGTCTGGAAACACTGCACTTGTCAGGCTAGGGCAGTGCTGCTGATGGTGGAGGGAAGTGAAGACGGTTGCACCAGAGCCTTTAAGGGCATAATGCCCAATGCCCCATTTCAGATGCACGTAAACTTCTGCACATCCGGTGCCTGAAGTGAGGTGTGGTGCTGGTGTTCTCTGCTGCTGGGTCTTTCACTGGGGATGGGGAGGGAAAGATGCTGGGGTGCAGATAGCAATCTGACTAAAAAATGGAGCTGCAGCATCCATACCTTCCTGCTTCCCAACAAATCCTTTTCCCACCTCTCCAGGGTCCAGTTGCATTCTCAGAGAGGCACATGGTGCAGTTCTTTCCACAATGGCTGTGAGGGGCGCAGGGCAAGTATAATCTTATGACCCCCTAGAAAACATTCCAAAGCCATACAACTGAACTATAAGGAGCTTCTCTTCAACCAATTCTTTGTGCATAGAAGGAGCTGGCTCATGCCCTACAATGGGCTTCCCCAGCCTTGTGCCTTCTGGACACATTTGGATGCAACACCCAAAATTCCCAGTCAATGGCTCTGTTGGACGGAATTATTGAAGTTGTAGTCCAAATGCCTCTGAAGGCCACCAGGTTGCGAAGGCTGTCATACGTAATTTTGTGTATACTTTCTGAGTTGTAAATTACACACACATTCACAGTAACTTTTGATTTTCTTCTTTAGAAGAAATTATATTTTAAAAAATAATCAAATGGCTAAAGTATTATAAAGTATTGGTCTTTCTATCTCTGTTTGTGTGTGATACACACATATAAAATATTCATAAGTTTTCATGTTTTCAGTAAGGAAATGTACAAATCACTTCTGTTAACACAGTTTATTGGCACACGTATTGGCAAAGCATACATAAAATACAGTTGTATCATAACACACCGACTCACTGTATTTTTTTACATCATGAGTTGAACGTATTAATATGTAAATGCAAAATTAGTTTATTTTATAAAGTTTCACATAAATATACTGGAATCAAAAAATTAATTAGTTTGGAGGCTTTACAAAAGTATCATACAAGAATGATAGTGAGAAAAGAAACAGCAAAATAAACTTAAGATACAATAAAAACAGAAAAAAATTAGTCTGTATTTAAACTGCTCACAAAATTAATGGATTACATGGCTTTCAAAATTCAGATCAACAGCAATTTTACAAAGCATAAATTCTCATAGGGACTTGGGCATCTTTCTCCACATAAAAATATTTGTCATGTCTTTGATGAAACAGACATTTTAGTTGTTTCAGTGCTTTTGATAAGTAAAAGAAAAACAATTAATGGGACTCAGATGTCAGACAGAAAGCAGTGGTCTTTTGAAATGGCTCAAAGAGGAAAAAAGGAGGGCAGCACCAATGAGTTGAAGTCGCAAGGCAGGAGAGAACCTCAGCTTGCACTAGGAAACAGCGTATTAAGAAGGAATGTTTTTGCACAGCGTATCTGGGGCAAAGCCCCTTCCACAGGGATACCTAAAAAAGAACAAGCCCTGTCCAGCTATGAGCTTATCCAGAGTGGGATTCCCAGTGGCCTCCCCTTCCAATCCAGCAGCCACAGGTACAAATCCAGAGCATGTTAAAGAAATCTGACTTTTTGCCAGTTTTCTTTTAGAAGGCACTGGATTCAGACCCCCTTCTTCTCCCTTCCGGTCAAACAGCAGGAATTTTTTCTTTTTCTAAATGAAGCCACATGAGATGCTGCAGCTGCTCTGTGCACACACCACTTTTCTGACCCATCATAAATCAGCAAAATTGTTGGTCTTGCTAGGTTTTTAAGGGTTGTGTTTAAAATTTTATGAATAGTAGTTTGCTATAAGCAATATGCAAGTGATTGGATGTGTAATATCTATAAATCTATTTGTAATATAGTTTACATTTCATAAAACATACTTTAATACTCCCTGTTACCAAATCATAGTTCACAGAGATGTCTTTGAAATCTCCCCTAAGGAAAGTTTTTAATGCCAAACCTGTTGAGCTACAGTAGCCTTCCTCAAGCCGGCACACTCTGGATATGCTGGACTACCATTCCCACCATCTGTAACTAGGACCATGCTGGTCAAGGATGATGGGAAATAAGCTGCAACACATCTAAAGGACACTACGTTAAGGGGAAGCTGGGCTAGAACATTTCTTCAGAATAAACCAGGGTTTGAAAGTTTGAACTTCTCTCCTTCTTTCCTGCTTGTTATAATAGCTAACCGTGGAAAACAATTGCATGGGGAGAGATTAAGGGCATAATCCTATGCATGTTTAGACAGGGAAAAGTCCTACAATCCCAAGCATTCTCCAGGCAGCAGTCTAATTGTGATAAGATTGCATCTTAAACACTGGACTCTAGAGCAAAAAACCTCAGAAACAAATTGAAAAACAATATATGTCATTCATCATGGTAAAAACATTGCCAGCAGATCCTGAGCACTGATGGTCTATAAGATATGGCCTTTAGAGGATAAGGGGGTCACAGCAGAGAAAAATCCTCCACTGAAATGTTAGTATTTAGCTATTGTCATGAGGTGCTACTTACATATTCAGTTCTTTTCACTGAGGTCAGCGTCAGTATCATGTCATGTGCAAGCGCTTCCAAGATAATTATCTGGAAGCTATAAATTATTTTTTCTAACTTAAAAAATGATAGCTATACATCTAGAAATAGGTTCTATATCTGTGGAAAATTGGGAAGGGTTTTGGTTTTTGTTTTTTGTTTGTAAAGAATGCTGTGGGATAGCAATTGTGACCTGCTGTTATAAATAACAGTGGATACGGCTTCAGATAACTTATTGGGAAGCTTGTGGTGTTGGGTTTTCAGTCTTGGTCTCTTGGTTAGCAGGAGGTTTACTATTCCATGGGCTGTTGTTTCCCAATGCAGGTGAATTGTTGAAGTCTTCGTCATCGTCCATGCCATTTGCTGCATCATACTGTGTGTTCTCTAGCCTGGTGATGAGCCGTTCATCTTCGTCACCAAATTCTCCACCCATTAGGGTTGGTTCTCCAACTACCATCACATCCTGTGAAAATAGCCAACATTTGTTATGCATGGAGGATGTGACAAAGCAAACAAAATCCCTCTTTATATAACTACTGATTCACCAGACTTCTGTTTCATATGAGAAGTATCCCAGAATGCTTCTTCCATGCAAGTCTGCCTTAACATGGTGCACCACTCTGCCCTCTTTGTGATGGACGTGTTCAAAGGTGGAACTGAGTGGCTCTCTTTAGTCAGTGGAAATCTGTGCTAAGATTTGACTTTGTATATTGTTAATTCTGAAAGCCTACATGCAGACCAGGCAGATGGAAACATAGGTATTAACCCCCACCCCAGATATCCCACTTTAAACAGTTGTAGTGTATATAAGGACCCTTTCCAAGTTCTACAAAGCATTAACATTTCAGGTTCATATAGTATGTTGTTTTCAAGCAACAAAACCACGAGGTATCAACACAAATGGCAGGGGTAACATTCAGATTAAAGTCACAATGCATTGGAACGCCCACCTGCTCAAGCCCCTTGAAACCAATAAGAGCCACTATGGTCCTCCTGAAGAGTTCCCCAGTTGACCATGCCCTAGGTTCTTTGCTTCATAGTCTATTTCTCCTGCTACTGGCTTTAGTAGTTAAGAAATGAAGTTCACAAATGCTACTTTTAATGCAGGGGCCCCCAGAATACAGAACTCAGCACTTCTTATCCCTAACGAACGCACTTGACATCTTGCCACTTAATTATGGTAATTAATTTAGGTAGAAAGGGTTTTTTTTATAAAAACAATGTTCACGCTGATTTGACAATTTGCATCACTAATTAAGTAATTAGCAAAAAACTGCTGATTGCCAACAAGCCCTGAATTTACCATCTGTTATTTCGTGGTGCTTGTCACCTCTCTCTGTGTAGGCAACACTGCTGCCAATCTGTGCAGTAAGAGGCCCAATCTGTCCAGCTGGTAGCATAAAAGGAAGACAGAATGCTAATTATAATTACACGGATGAAGCGAGAGTTGACAAAAGCTGAAGAGGGCAAGAAGGGAAGGATCTGTCCCATTGCTGCGGTGAGTGCAAAGAGTCCTTTCATGAAGACAAGCACTGCACGGCAAGTACAACTACTCATCACTAGTTGATTGCTGATCCTTAACCAGCAGGGGATATACAGAGTGCCAGACAGGAAACCAGAGAACTCCCTTGATCTGGTTGCTTAAAGGAGAGCCACTGATTTCAGGATTTCATGCAGGACTTCAAGACACATTCCAGGACAATGTAGCCTGCTGATGTCTGGATTTGTATACATGGATTAAACAAGCCATACAAAGCCCTGCAGAGCTCTGGATATTGAAAAGGATGTGTTACTAGTGAGACAATTATGAATACTCTGTTGCAACCAACCAGAGTTCTGATGGCATCTGTGACTTTCCTCCAACTCCTCAACAATGCATGCCATCCATTCACCCTTGCTGCCCTTCATGCTAGGAATTCCTCCTCCATTCATTTCTGAGGAGTCCTCTTACCTCCTCAGAACCCAATTTTTCCAGTAAGTTTTTGGCTGAATGCCACAGTCTATCTCCAGTTGAAGCCAACTGGCTTCAGCATGTTATGGACATATTCAGTAAGTTATAGACATATTCATTTGGACAAATTCACCACTCTGCTATCTGTGCCTCTCCATCTATTGCAAAGAGTGAACATGCAAGTTCTTTGGCATAGGGACAGAAAGTGCTGCATATTTTCTTTTGGATCTTGTGTCGTGTATTCAATATACAGAAACTTTGCTTTCAACGAATCTTATCAAACTATTTTCAACAACAACAAAACCCTAAACAACTAACTAAAAATGCAGTGTAGTTAATTCAAAAATCATCTTGCCACAGTTCTAATGGTGTGGAAGAGCAGGTGCAGAGGAAAAGAATGTACCAGCACCAGGTGAGGCCAAATCAGATAATGTTAAATGTGACTTTGCATCGAACATGCCGATTTTTAAGAATGTAAACTACATCAGGTGCAGGAGGGGGCTGATAAATATTTGAGATCACAGCAGGGTAATTTAACCCTCCCTGTGCTGCAATCCTGAGGCAAATCCCTGCTCTGCAGGTACTATTTCCTTTGGGAGAAAGTCCCCCAGTGGCAAGTTGCCAAGACCCACTTAATGCCACACACAATTTTACCCACATATTGGTGAAGTGTGTGTTGTTTTGGCATTCACTCTTCTCTCTGAAAACTGTTAAATGAATAGTTTAATGAAAACTATGAAAATAGTTAAATGAAACATTAGAATTTTAGACGAATTTCACAGTGAAGCATGAAATCCAAGTAACAAATCTAAGGGGACTGAGTTAGGAGAAAACATTTAAACACATGTTTAGTTATGGTGAAGACACGAGAAGTCCTTCTATTAAGAGGGAAGACTCTGGCCTGCCTTGGAAAACTAGCTTGGTGGCAACAGCCTACAGTTCATGGAGGAGTGAACAGGCAGGCATTGCATAATTTGCGATGGGGATTCTCCATGCAGAGGCCTAGATGAAAAGCCCCTTGATTCATACTGTCCTTGCCCTTTTAAATAGAGGGGATAATAAATCGTAAGTCATGCGCCTAGGAAAAACCATCCTGAATCAGACAAAATGTCCATTGTTCAGCATCTGTTTCCAGCAGCTCCAACCAGATGCCTTCCAGAAACCCACAAGCACAGTTTGAACATGACAGGCCTTCACTCTTGCCACTCTGGCAGTGGTAATCAGTGCCATCTTGCCTGAAACACTGCCTTTATTTAGTTGCCATGGTTGACAGGCGTGACCTCCATCAATTTGTCTGATGCTCGAAGCCATCACCACTAGTTCCCTCTGCATGCAGTACCTGCGCCTCATGTCACCTTACAGATGAGCTGAAGGAAAAGGGTTTTTCCTCTGCCATGCAAAAACTGTTGCCATGATCCTATACACACTTACCTGGGAGTAAGTCCCACTGAACTCAGTGGGGTTTACTTCTGAGTAGACATGTACAGAGATACATGGGGAATGTCTACAGTGGTTCTCCTTCGGGAGGTAAGTGGCAGTTAGAGCATTCTTAAGAAGAGCAGCGCTGGGGCTTTTCTGGAAGCAACACCCTCTGAACCTGACTGGAAGTGCCAGGGCTGGTTGTGGCTGCCTGTTGGCAAACAAACTGCAGTTCCTCTTCAATAGTGGTACTCTACTTATAAAAGGCCTGAGTCCTTTTGCTGAATATTTTTCTATGGCTGAATTCAAGGCCTGGGTTAAGTCCCACTGTGTAAGGAAGCAATACTAAGAAGGTACAGCCATATGCCTCATGTCTGGTGGCAGCTTTAGATGTTCAAGGTTGACAAAAGCTATCTCAGTTACTTAGAACTGGGCTCATCTACCTCCTTAGGGGTTCTTCCATGCGGCATGTTCATAGCAAATATATTTTCAATAGGCTCAGAATGCAAGTGCTTGTGAGAACCGTGTGTGGCACTGCTGTTGGGCTTTACCACTGCACTTTGCAAGGAACAACAGGTGTGCCATAGGACCACCTGCACAGCATAGTGTGAAAGCCACTCAGACCTCTAGTTAACCATTTTGATTGAATGTCTGAATTCACACTACCATGAAATAAACCATCCAGATTTCTTCATAATAAATGAATGAGCCCTCAATGACCCATCAAAAAGATTATTAAAACAGTTTAGTGGAGATTCCCCCTTTTCTCATTACAGCTCCCCCTTAATTCTAGCCTCTTCCACAATCCAAGGCAGAACGTTGTTTGTGGTCTTATCCCTGAGAGTCAGCATATATTATCTGCTCGCAAGTGATACCACAGCTAATTATGCATCTGGGCATCAGAACAGGAGTTACTATACAGACTTAACTACAAGACACCAATCCTCTAAGCATTTAGTCCAGATGTCAGGCAATCAACAATTCCTTGAGAAAGAAAAACATGCTGGTCCTGATCCAGAGAAATCAGTCACACAAGCCCCATTTGAAATTAACCGCATAAAAGTGAATTGCAACTCCTTCCCAATTGATTTCAATGGGACTCAAGGACAGCTTCCTTTGGATTATATCTACTAGCTCTGTCCCACAATGGGACCTCCTGCTTCTAAGAAAGGAATGCTAAAGACACCCGCCAATTAAACACCAATTCATCTCCACTCACTAGTTCCCGTGCAATAGCCACCAACCTCTGAGGAGGACTGGAAGTGACTCCTTTTAGAGCCCCTCAATGCTTCTCCTTAAATTGGCCAGTAGGGGTCACTGTTGTTGAATGACACAAGGCTCCATCCCTCCCAGGGTTGAGGCTGCAGCTCTGGAGTGCTCCTAGCTCCTGCTCATGGAGTGAGAAGCAGAATCCAAGAATTAAACCCCCAGGTTTTCTTTTGCATGGGGACATACACAGCTATGGGCTAGTCATGGCACAGTGTGAGATTCAGCTACATTCGCTCAGTTCATGCTTAGATTCAGCAATATTGAGATCACACGCAATGCCTGTGATCTCAAACATCGGCATGGATAAGGCAGGCCTGTACCACTTGAAATACACCAAGCTGAATGCAGCCCACTGCTTGTGCATGTTAACGCAGCGGAGCCATCCTATACATGCCTACTAAGAAGTAAGCCCAAATGATTCAGTGCGGCTTACTCTCAGGTAAGTATGTACAGCCCAGCCGAAATCTCCCACTTTTGCTGCCTGCCCGGACTGCAGAAATGGGTAGAGAAAGGTGGCCAAGTCCTTGGTAGGCAACCATGCATGGCTGGTGGGCTGCAATGATCTTGGTGGAACCCAAGTTGTGCCAGTCCAGGCTCTTATCCCCACCATCGTGTGTGAATGTGTGTGCGTTTACTTTAGAAGAAATCTGTTTAGTTACAGAGTTTAAATACGATGCTTTATGTATACCAAAAGCATCAACACAGCATCCTTAAGAGAATAGATTTTATTAATATTATGGGTAGCGTTATGTTTCCATTCCATTCTATTTTTAGCAATAATATTTGTGTGTAGATGATAAACCAAGTGTCCTGATCCAAGCAATGTTCAGTGCTTAAAAAAAATAACCCAAACAGCATCCTGTAATCCCAAGAGCCTGCTGGAGAGAAGAATGCAACCTGGCAGGTCTTAGATGCAGCTAGTTTGAGGCTCGTTTTGTATTTTATTAGTTTTCCAGCCAATGATCCTGGTTGTCTATTTGTTTTCCCCTCAGAACAGTAAAAGGCTGGATGATTGGCAAGTGTAATGGGAAATGTATAAGGACTAGTACCAGGACACTGAGGAAGAAATGAAGGACAAGCCAAGAACTTTACCAATGGGACAATGGAGAATGTATCAGGATAATTTTCGTTTTATAGCCCAGTATAACTCTAAAGAATTTACTTCCATCTGTGTCATTCATGATTTATATCACCCACTGTGTTGAACACAATTGTTGATATGAACACATTCTAAGAATTTCCATAACGTATTTTTCAGGGAAGTTAAATTATCTTAGGAAGAAGTTAGATGCTTTTAAAAGCACAAATTCTTAAGATTCATTTCATGGGCTCCTAGATGGGCTGGTGGGCAGACAGATACTTTCTCTTGTAGTTGAATTATTTCCCAGGTCTTTGGAATGCACTTTTGAATACGCAGACTCCTCTTGGGGGTCAGTGCACCTTTGCAAGCATCCATGGCCAGACGGAATCCCTTGGTTACATTCTAATGAGTAACTCCAGGGCAGTGCATGCAAGCAACACCCTTTCCTGAAATTCTCACTTTTTAAAGTGAGGTTCTAGCAATGGTGGCTACAAAGCTATGCTTAAAATGCTTGGGCACTGCCTGGTGAAATGTCACACTGCTGAATGAAACCCCCCGGGGTTAGGAGTATTAGTGCCTCCCATAGTTTCTTGTCACTCCCTGTAGTAGTAAACACAGGCTACAAAATTCAGCTTTGCTCAGTGTAGCATTTGAGTTGTTGGGGCAAGAATTTCAGTCTACTTTTTACTCCTGAGTGCAGAGAGCACACAGTCCTGGGTGTGGCATGTACAAATCACTAATCTCTAAAAAAATGCTCTGCAAGGACTGGGATCAGGAACTGGATCAGAACCCCAAATATTTAACTGCATTGCTAGCCCAGCGTGCTTGCCTGCAGCATGTGCATTGTTTGTTCATTGTCTTTAATTTCTTCATTTACACAGCAATGGATGGGGGCGTCTCTTGGCATGATTGAAAATGGGGTTCTGGCTGGGGTCCAAGGAACCCCCCCCCCACCATCCTGTGCACAGATGCTAAAACACTTCTATTGTGCATGTGGGAGCTCTGCAGAGCTATTGCTTTCAGCAACCCCCCCCCTCGCTCCCACTGAGGGCTTCTCTACATAAGGCTTTACGCCACCATGCTATGGAGGCTTCTGCTTGCAGATTCTTTGTGGGATTCCACTTGGCTCCATTATGTGAGGGGACATCTGTCCTCCCTCCCTCCCTCCTGCCCTCCCTCCCTCCTTCTTTCTGTTCCATTACACAACTACAAGGTGGCAATGCAGTACGGCAGAACTATGAAAACATATGAACCTTTCTTTGCGGTTCCTAAACCCCACTTTCCTTGCTTTACAAAAAACTGTGGAAATGCTTGGGAGGCAAGGAAAAGGGATGGCAACATGGAATGAAGCACCTGCAAACTAGGTGTAATGTGTGCACAATGAATGCCTTGTGTAGAGAAGCCCTGAGTCTTCGGAAACCCACATGCAGCTTGGCAAGAACCTCCTGATGGGGAGAGGAAGTTGAAAAGATCCCGTGCACATGCAGAAAGCCCACTGTGGCTGTGTGGATCCTGACCTGTTATATATATTAGGAGTAACAGCACAGTCTTATATGGAGACCTAAAAGGAAAGCGAGACTTACAGGTACCTGACTTGAAAGACTCAGGTTTGCAGCAGCTGCTTTTTTCTTGCTGTTGGTGCTGTTTGCATTGTTCCCGGCACTGCTATTGGAAGTGCTGCTAGTTGAATTTTTCCTTTTCCTCCGTTTGGTTGTCGGCTGTCTTGTAGGCTCTGCTGTGGTAGATATGCAGAAAGCAAAACAAGTTACACTTATGAATGCATGCAGAGGAACGACAAGAGCGACAACCACCATTCTCTCCTCCTTCCCTCCAGTTTAAAATTCCTGATGTGTACATGGTACTGAATCAACTCACTAAATATGTGGACCATCACCTGGAACTAAAAGCGAATTTAAATTAATTAGGTGGAAAGCCAAAAGTTACAGAGAGCGGTGGCCATTTGTAACCCAAGCTCAAGTAAGACAGCAGCCAACACTCATCTGCTTTCAAAGCAATGCTCACTATGATGGGCCAGAGCAGGAGGAGAGAGATTACCGGGACCTGTAGTGTTCCCCAGGAGGGCCTCATCACTGGAAACTGGACTACCCACAGTCAGAGCCAGCGAGGACGCTTAGCCTCCCCAATGGTGCTGCCAATTCTAATCATTCACTTTGCCCTAGCAGAGCCAACAGGAGCCACAGACTCGCACGGAGGAGAGCAGGCAGGCTGTAATCAGGGCTTCTTTTTCTCTGTCTCTTCTTTCATTGGCTTTTTCCTCTTTTCTGCTCATTCTCTCTCTTCACCTTTCTGTCACTTTAAAAGAAAGCTCTCATGGATTCCCACTGCAATCTCTTTCAAAGATTTATGGGGGGGATTTGGGATTAGTGGTTTACATACATAGAAACTGTCAATACCCCAATTGTTGTCTGTCCCAACCATACACAACAATTACACCTTGAAGAAGCTTCCATTGGTGGTCATGGGAACTTAGGTGAAGGCTCTGTGTGTGTGTGTGGGGGGGGTTGATTGCATGGTATCACAAGATACCTGCCCCAGATGTTAGCTCTTCCCAGAAATTTTCCCTCCCCCAGCATGGCCACTAGGCTTAAAAGAACCTTCTAGTTGCCTCAGTGGACTCTTTTTTAAGAGTCGCAACATGGTCTTGGAGGTCATGGGATTCTCCCAGCCCCAGGGCTCTGCTCAGACTCTGGAGACTGTGTCCCTCCCCGCTACAGTTAGTGCAGAAGGAACCACACTGGCTGCACTCCCCTGAGGTTGCAATTGGGCCGTAAGAGGGGAGGAAGAGGGAGCTGGGGGCAGGGAGGGGAAGAGACTGGGGCCTTTGCAACTGGCACCCCAGCCTCCTTCCTTCCCCTCCCTTGCACTAAAACTGCATTGCCAAAGCAACCTTTTCAGAAAACACATCAGGCATGAAGGACGGCAGCAGCGAGATCACCGGCATGTCTTGAATCTTGCATTGGATGCTTGTACACCTCCAAGTTTGGAGGCTGACAAACGCCTGCTGCCAGATGTGGGAGACGACTAGCCTGATGCGGAGTTTTTTTGGCCATGGACAACTGGTTTCTTACTCATGGTCTGGCAAACAAAATGTTGGACTAGGACCAGGAGGAGCTGGGTTCAAATGCTTCCTCAGCTATGAAACTCACAAGATGACCCTGTGCCACTTACTATTTCTTTGCTTGACTTACAGGGGAGAAGGGAAAAACCAAGGGGGTCATTCTTGGAGGTTACAGAAATAATTATTTCACTACATATATTACTTTTCCAATATTGATCCAGTCAGTGAAATTCTGCTTGGCTACTCCCAAAAAAGGGTACACGGTTCTCAAATATGCCTACTAACTCATGTGAACTGCAGCCCTCCCGTAACACAAAATGCACTACAGCCCTTCAAGTTACAACCCCAGATGTCACTTGGGATAGGGGAAACAGCATCCCCCTCCGCCTCCTTGCAAGGCAAGCCATGTCAATAGTGCCTCTAGTGTGGGAACTCTACTGCATTAACACAACAGTGGCCGTTTTCCCTCTCGGATTCAAGTGCCTGCTGCCCAGCAGCCGCTCAGTGGACTAGCCTGGGCTGGTTCTCTCCTCTGGAGGGAGCAAGGAGAGACTGTGGCCGTGGATTACCAGGGACAGCCAGGCAGACAGGAGGCTGGGGGCTGGCTCAGCACACTGCGCTGCCTGCTGCCAGGGCTCTACCGTAGGCAGCAGTTTCCAAACTTTACAGCTCCAGCAAAACCTTTCCACCTCAACTGTTTTGCCAAGGAGTTGCTGAATACTTCTCCAGAAGCCCTGGATGCTGCACATTTTGGAAACATCTCCTATATTCTTCTACAGCTGCCCATTTTAGAGAAGCCTTGACTGTGTGCCTGGGGTGGGGGGAGGGGATGTTCTACTGAAGCTTTCGTGTGTGATCTTACAAGGAAAAGTGTCCTGTTTCACATATGCCAGGTTGAGACACTCTCTGGGGTTGCTATACAGAGCCTGTACTTTGCCACACTTGAAACAGGGGTCTGCAGAGCTAACAGAAAGCCAGACAAAAGGCCCCCACCCCAGCCAGTAGTGACTGCAGCCTCAGTGGGAGCATGAAAGCAGAATGGGGTACAGTGCCTGGAAGGGCTGGGATGGGTCAGTTCCGCCTTGCCTGCCCTTCTGTGCCTTTGCTAATCGGATCCAGATGGAAGCAGGCTCTGACCAGAGGGGAGGAGCAGGCCAGCATCTAGCTTTCCTTGGTGTGAAAGGAGAGTAAGAACAAGAGTGCAGGAGGGAGGGAGAGAGGGAGAGAGCAAAAAGCCCAGATCAGCAGAGCCAGAGTCATGGGAGCAGAGCCTGATCGACTGCTAGAAAAAGCAGCCCAAACATAATTCCCTCCCTTCCAGCAGTTACCTCCATGATCACCACTGAGAAATACCTGAAATATATTTACTTAAGTTTTCCAATGTTATTCCTTTTTTAAGTATGCGTCAGTGATTTTTAAGCCTTTAAATGCTTTCTCTTTCAACACCTTACAATCAAATTGCAGAAAGTTAAGTATCAAGGGCCAACTATACCTGGAGGTGCCACCATTCGCTGCCATTTTTGAAACAAACATGTTTTCAGGCAGTCTCGAGGACTTAAATTATACGTTTTATGCCTTGACATCAGCTCTTGCATTGGCTCCAATATTACACACAACTGCAAAAGGAAGAATACAGGAAAATACATTTAAGGTAAACAGCATTTCTGGAAAAGCAAATTTCTAGTTTGAATTGAAATTCGGTTCATTTCCTTAGTCTATGGGTTCCAGTCTTTCGGCTCTGTAAACAGAATTGGGATTATGAAATTCAACAAATTATGTTGCTGGGTCTCACATTTCTGGACTCAAAAATACAAATATGCAGTAAGCATTACAATTTCTGAGCTCTTTTCTGGCTCAGATTTTAACCTGAGCAGATAAGAGTGGATTTTCTACCCCTTCAAACCAGTAGCTGAGCCACCCAAACTAAGCCCCTCTCCTCTCCACCTTCCTTGTTTACTGAGTCAGGATTCTGCCAGAAACAGCAAGCAGGGAGAAGGAGAACACCCACCGCTTTGGCCCCTCTCGCACCGCTTTGGCCCCTCTCGCACCGCTGTGTAATGCGGCAAGCTGCTGGAATCCCCCAGGAGAGTCCCCCGGCACAGTGGACACTCGGGGCACTGCAGAGCACCATGCCAGACCAGACAAAGCAGAGGGGCAGGGGCTTGCCCCACGGTGCTGCCACCACTCCAAGCATGTCACTACAGGGCCAGGCTGGCATGTGAAGTAGGTGGGGCGTTGGCAAGTGAAAAAATGAGTTGGGTTCAGAAATAAATGGGCTATTTCTTCCTTTGACGTGGGGTGGTGAAGCTCAGCTTATTTTCCAGTCAACACACATTTTAGTGCAGCTCAGCGCAGTCTGTGCATAGCAGACAGGTTCCCGTATGGGAAATTTAATTTAATTTCTTAAGTTACACAGTAATGAGTGTTAATTTGCTGAGCAGTTGTACACTGAATGCAAAGAAATGTTCGGAAGAATGGTATTTAGTATCATTAGACTGACATATTTTCTTCCAATTAAAATGTTTTATCTTACCTTTTGTAATTCACAGGCTTGTGAACATTTTTGTGTGTGTGCAATACTTGCCTTCTGAAAGCATCACTTCCCATTTTGCATTCTTACTGTTTTCTGTGTTCTGCACTCCTGCCATCTGCCCATTCCTTCTCCCATACTCTCCCTTCTCTGACTCTGAAGGGCCTTTCCTTTTTCCATTCCTATTACTACTATTTGGCCTTATGGTCATATCGCTGTCTTGCTTATTTTCCCATTTCTCATCTGTTCAAATTCTCTTATTGTCAGTTTCCCTTCTGGTTTCAGGAATGTTTTCTGGTTTCAGGAATGTAATAATTCCCTTGTTGCTACACTTCATTTTCTTTAGCCGTCAGACAACTTTCCTCGGTTCTTTAATTGGAAAAGGGTTTGATTCATACTACCTACCAACCTTACTCCTTTTCCTCGCGGCCTGGGTTTTACCAATGTCACTCTATAGAAGCTGGCTTTATAAAATGTCTCATGATATTCTTTTGATTCCAGTTCCTTTTCTTAGACCAGTTCCTCTTCTTCATTTTCCTGCATCAGTTTCCTACTTAAAATATTGCCTATGAAGCCATCTTCCCTGACATTCTTTGCCTCCAAAACAAGTATCTCTTTCTGGGTTGACGGAGCCTCAGCTTCATGAAACAGCCATGCTTCATGCATAGGCTGCTCATTTTAGATGTCCACTCCTTCCTGGATCTCACGGGGCACCCACATGCAGTTGAAGTAAGCGGTGCAGCCCTGGTGTGTGCTCACACACACATAAAATGTACTAACACATGAAGAGGGCTAGGAGGGATTCTAATCAGTCCTTCTTTGCCTCAAGATTTTAATGAATCAACTGCAACCCCTGCAGAAATGAAGGAACGTTCCTGAAATAAACCAACATCTACTTCATTTGTTTATCATCAGTGACAACAGTCCATATGGATAGGCACATTAGGAATCTCTCTCTTACTGAACTGTTGTTGTTACTTCCATCCATATTCCTAAAATGAGGTGTCAAAGCAGAAACCTAAAATTTACATCAACATTTTGCCTCAAGGAAATCCTTAGTGACAACTTAAGGATGTGTAAAATCCCAGTTTGCTAGTCTCACTAAAAACTCTGTCATTTTTTCTACTGGAATTCCGCAGATGTTTTGCTCAAGTAAGGGTTTCAGATTTTTGCTTTAGAGAGATTCAGTGATACAGCAACAGAGCCTGATGTTTATTTCTCTGTTTAATCATTGTGTTAAGAAAAACAGCCCTAGAATTTGCTAGCCTTACTAGAGCTCTGTGTCCTGAATCCCGTTGAACACAAGGAAGGTACCAGTTTCAGATTACCACACATAGTGCACATGTGAACAATTCCTTAGTTAATTGAATTTTATATGAATACAAGGCATGCATCTATGCTCCAAATGTAAACTGGTTTAACTGCAATTGTTTCTTGAGATTTTATTTATTTAAAAAGAACTGTTATTTAATTTATTTATGCATAATATATATATTCTTCCCTCCCCATCAAAGTTATAGGCAGTGTTTCCATTGTTGGATGTCACTGTATTATGTTTAAAAACAATATTAAAGCACAGACCATTCCGTTTTTAAAAAGCGGCATACTAAAGTCAACAGCACCATGGATGGAAGAGCCTGTTGCCCGTTGCAGCACAGGTAGTTTACATGGGCACATCCTGTCTATACCCCTATTCTGGTTGAGATGCCCATCTGACTCCTACCAAATTTTGAGGGGAGACTGGTGCAAAACAGAAAGGCCATGGTGAGCCAGGTATCCTTTGGCATAGAATTCCAGAGCAGCTACCACCACAGAAGACGACCCATCCCGCAGACCAACCTAAAGCTTTGGGGCTGCTTCCTCCATTATGAACCTCCCTGTTCATTCAGGCCTTCAGGAGAGGTCTTGCCATCTGAAAGAAGGTGGGGTGGGTGGGTTTGCACAGGACGGGGTCTACTCTGTAATCGTACGTGGACTCTGGGACACTCTTCCCTGAGAAATCCATTACCTGTGTTGCTCCTCGGGCTTTTGATATACTGTGTAGGCACTGATACTCCAAAGAGTTTTTGGCAGCATGAAAAACTGAATTTGCCCTGATGCTTAAAAAAAAGTTTTAAAATATTTCCTGACTTTTGTTTTGGGATTATAGTGTATTTTAGTAGTATGGTGATTTATCATGTTTTGGGTTTTTCTTATAACTGTAAGATATATTAATTATCCAACTAAGAGAAAAACAGGATATAAACATTTTCATTTTTTACTTAGTTTATTAATTTATATCCTACCTTTTCTCCTCAAGGTGGCTTACATAATTCTCCTCCTTGCAAGGTTACCCTCATAGCAACCACCCTGGAACTAGGTTAGGCTAAGAGGCTGTGAGTAGCCCAAAGTTACCCAGTGAGCTCCATGGTTGAGGGGGCGGGGGAACTAAAAGCCAGATCTCCCAAGTCCCAGTCCCATACTCATAAACACCGCACCACAGTCCACAGTGGCTCGCTCGCTCGCTCTCTCTCCCCCCCTCTCCAACAAATAAATCCTATCTCTGTCTTTAAGAAGGAATGTGACTGAGAACAGGGTAGGTGTGCTAAACCAGCAGTATTAAAGGAGGAAGAGTTGAGATTTAGAACTATGACCAATGTTGCTGTTCTTTTTACTGTTTGCTGTACTGGTACTACGCCTTATGGATTTCTGCATGCCAGCTTCTCATATTGATATAATGCTATGACTTAAAGCTATCATGAGAACACGTGGCTCAGACCAAGGATCTACCTGTTACCACAATGGCTAAAAATAGGTAGGCCTCCCTGGGGAGTGTGCAAGCTGGACCTGAGGGCAGTAACACCTTCCTGCTCACATTCCCTGGTAAATGTTTCAGATAGGCACAATACATCAGATACTGGAAGCACCATACTCCATTTGATGCTAGCCAAAGGTCCAAGAAGGGATACTCCAAGCAGCATGCAACACTTCATGAGACAGGAAACTTATCTCCACTGCAACCTAGAAATGCAGTGATGGGCCAGGCTTCCAGGCAGATGTTTTGCATCATTTTAAATGTGTATTTTAGTATGTACTGGGCTTTTTTTTCCAGTGGGGAAGAAGATCTATTGCCGATTTGACTTAGATACCCTAAATTGCCAACATAGTTCATTAGCCTGAAGAGCCACCAAATTATCTGAAATCTCTCTCCATTATTTAAAATGCTAAATGCATGACACATCACATCTGAGTGAAACTCAGAAAAGATTGTTCTCCTGTCATTGCTAAAATTATCCAGACTCCCTTATTCTCCCTATATTATCTCATTACTAAATAGTCATATTGCTTCTGGATGCTCTGGAGTTAAGAAACAGTGAATAGATTAGCCTCAGAATGCTTGTGTTTGCTTGCTTGCTTGCTGTTTTAGCTTGGGACTAATAGAAGAACAGATTAGTTTTCGGAATATATGGCTAACATGTACATTCTCCTTTCCTTATGTTCTTCATTCATATTTACTTATTTTCAATCACAGGTTATCATCATAATCATACCTATCTTTTACCTGTCTTTACAGGCAAGGCAGGCAATAAAACTGCATTAATTCTACCAGTTCTGGGCTCCAGGTGGCAGAACTAACTCAGCTAAGGAACTGAGCCCTCATTTGGAATGCAGTAGTGGAACAAAAATATAAAATGTGTTCAATTTAATTCATTCATTTTAGTTGGCCTTTGCATTTTACACAAGTAATACAGCATGTTTTGGAGTCATGTAAGATGTATGCCATATGGTGGGCATATTTCACACGTTTCTGGAAAGAAAATTCTCTAAAATCTTAAAGCTGCATGGGAACCTGGAAATGCAAGAATTCTTAATACCTTGAAAAGCATTCTGAGCAGAGAGGGCTGCTCCATATATATGACTTTGACGCCAACTATACTACACAACATAATCATCCATGAGGAGTCAGTTTCAGCCACTTCACTCAGAGTTTAGAGAACTGAGTGGCTTCTAAAAACTGAACCATCCTTGGCCTAAACTGTTGATCTTTTAGGCCAAAGATACCTGGTAAGAGATGTGAAGGCCTGGAAAAGGCCCCCTCCCAGAAAA